AGGCCCCGCCCCCGCCACGTCACGCGCCGCCGGATCGCGACAGCGCGCGCCGCGTCGGGACAGGACGCCTAGTTCCGTGCTGAGTCCGCAGGCGGCGGCGCCTCTGGGCCTGGGGGGCATCGCGGCGGCCTCAGGGATCAGAAGGCCCTGCTCAGTGTGCCGTCCCAACGTCTGCGTGCACTTGGCTGCCTGTCCCCAGGCGGGCCGTGACCTGGGCCCAACCACCCTCGCTCTAAATGGCCCCCGCAGCCCGTTCCTTTATGGCTGTTGGCCATACAGCTTACACAAGTTGCGCTAGATAGCCTCCATACCTCGTTCTCAGCCAACCCCTCCGCTACGCACCTTAGGAAGACACAGACCCAAGACGTTTTCTCCCAAACTCCTAGCTCAGCCCAGCTCCCGTCCATCGAACCGTCAGCAAACACATGGACACTAACTGGCTTCTGTAACCAACCCCCCGCCTCCCTAGGGCTCAGGCTGGGGGACATTTTTTGATCCTTATCTTGTCTGACCCTACTGACACTCTCTTGGGGGAGCTGCACCCTCTTATCCTCTTCCTCTACCTCGGCTACTGCTTCACCATCTCCTTCTAGGGGTCTTTTCCTTCTGGTAGCTCTGGGGCTCTTCTAGGGTCTCTCTGACCTCTTGGACAGCTGAGCCTTCCCCCTTAGCTTCCTGTCCACAACCTCAAGCCATAGCTCTCTCCTGGGCCATGGAGTCATTTCCCACAGACACGTGTTTACACCTGCACATCCTATAGTTTGAGACTGACCATACCCAATCTCCTGCTCTGCATCACCCAATGACGCAGCCAGAGATGGGCAGCACCCTGGAAGCTTCCTCCTCCTGCCCCCCAAAGACCTGCAGGTTTTCTCATGGTTTTCTTCTCCCCAGTTATAGTAGCCTCTCAATCCCTACCCTGCTCCCTCTAACCCATCCCCATAGGGTAGGGATTGCTCCTAAAATACACATGGGAATGACTGTATCTCCTCTGCCTAAAAACACTTCCATTCTCCTATAGACCTGAGACAGTGATCCTTGAAGGACCCTCATTGCTACTGCCCTCCTTGTGCTCTCTGCTTGGAATACCGTCCTTTAGTGTGAATGAGAGTATGTGCATATTTGGAGTCTTTAGAATCTGACCCTTTGTCCCCTGGATCCATTCCTTCTGCTTCTCTGGCCAGGCAAAGTAAGAACTCTGCTCATATGTGTCACTCGGTGGCAGCCAGTCCACTTACCCTTGCAACAGCCACATACATGACCTGCCAGCATCCAGATCTCTGGCTCTGCTCACACCCAGTTATAACAACCCACCATCTGAAAGCCCATTATGCACCAAACACCGAATTGGATGTTCTCCAGCACCATCAGTGTTCCTCAGGACCACCCTGCAGGATACATTTATTCGGCCCCATTCTGCAGATAAGCAAGCTGAGGCTCAGAAAAGTTGGGAGACTCCGTATGTAGTAGCCTGGAGCTGGTAGAACTCAGATTTGGACCCCAGTAGCGTGAACTATAGCCTGCTATGACTCCATGCCCTCTCTCGGCAGCTGTGAAATCCAACATGGCAGTGGGGCTGAAACAGGTCAGGGGTGAGTAGGCAGCTGTAAGGCCACCACAAGGGGGAGTAGGGGATGGTGGCTGTCAGGGCAGAGCTGGGAGTCAGGCTGGGCAGGACCTGGAGGTAAGGACCTTTTGTGTTGTCATCCTTTCACCAAGGCCAGCAATTACAGCTGGACCTGTGTATCCCTTGGCACCCTCCCCCTCTTTGGGCCACATTTCTTCCAGGTTTTGCCAATAAATAGTGCTGTGAGAGGGTTCAGAGTGCCCTCTAGTGGCCCAGGGTGTATTGAAGCCTGAAGCCCAGGCTGGCCCAGGGCAGGAACTGGGGCTCTCACCACCCCACTGCCGCCAACCCCCACTCTGGGCTCTGCACCATAGAATTAAGGCTTGGATGCCATCCCTATGCATGTTTCCCTGTCTCTGGCTCTGTTTCTCTGTCTTTATCCATCTCCACTTGGTTCCCAGTGTTGTTCCTTGTCTCTGTCCACACCTAGTCTCAGCCTAGTCTCTCCTCTTCTGTCAGTCTCTGTCCCCAGAGAGGGACAGACAGTGGGCAAACTGAAGAAACAAAGAAGAAGGATGGCATCCTAAAAAGAACTCTAGGGTCAAAAGACACTGAGACCTGAAAGATGAGAGAGGACAAAAAGGCTGGGAACGAGAGTCCAGCCAGGGTGACCTGCAGGATCGTCCTCAGCCCCCAGCTGTGGGGCAGCATGTGGGGTTTATACACCAAGCAGGAGTAGAGGGAGGCAGGACGCTACCTCTCTAGCGTCTTCACCCCTCCACCCCTCCATTACCTCCCTCTTTTCATGCTCAGAAGAGACTCTAAGCCAGGGCACTTTACAGCATCCAGAGTATTTTTATTGCCAGAATCAAGGTACAGCCTGCTCAGAGCCCCAGTACGGAGCACACCACTCAGGAATAAAAGGAGGGAGATGCTGGGTATGTTCACAATACAAAAAAATCCAGCTCCACAGAAATCTTGTGGGAGAGCAGCACAGTCCAGCCTGACTGTGGCTCTGGGGTCCCATCCTAGAGGTTAGACTCAAGTCTTGGCCTAGAGCCATTGACCACTTGGAGATCACTGCCACCAAGGCAGATCCAGATTCTCTATCCCTGCTATTATAGGGAGATCCATGCAGCACCTCTGGAAAGGAAGGAAATTACCAGGGGAGCCCCAGGGCACCTGGCTCTTTCAGGGGCGACTCAAGCTTCTGGGTTAGTCTCTGCAGACTAAACACCACTGAGCTGCCTGGTGGGAGTAGGTGCTGGGCAAAGTGGGAAAGAGTCCTACCTCCTCTCAGCTCTGCACCAGCCCACACGGGTGCTAGAAAAACCCTAGGGCTGGGTGGCAACGTGGTGGTGGATTTAGCAGGGATACCCCGAGCTGCCTTAGCTGCTTCCTTGAGTTCTCTTTCTTCATGAATACCTAAAAGGCCATGGCACTGGCCCTGCTCTCATCCTTGAACCACATTCCCAGAGGGAAGGGAGCCAGCATCAATACTGTGGGTAACAGCCCAACCACAGGAGTCAAGGCTCCTGGAACGCAGCCCCCAAGAACTAGAGGGCCATATGCTGCCCAATCCTGAGCTAGGCTGTTCTTGGAGGTGAGGGAGGTAGGAGTGAATATCCCAGGACCTGGGAACCATGGAGAACACAACTCGCCCCTGCCTGCAGGAGGAACCAGGCTGCCTCCAGAAAGCCACAGTCAAGCTGCTGAGCAACTAGGCCACAGGGAAGCCAGCAGCTCCAGCCACCCACAGCCACTAGCAAGCCTACCTGTGGCCAGTGTGTGGGAAGGATCCCCTAGGGACCAGACCATCCCTGGGACCTTTAGGGACAGGAACCACACCTCAGTAATATCCCCCACAGGAAGGCTAAGGGGCCAGGGCCCAGTGGGTAAATGTGAAAAGGCCACAGGGGTAGGAGAAACAAATGACCCCTCAGTCCAGGATTGAGGCCAGTTGCCAGCCAGTCCACCTGCGGAGCCAGTCCTGAGGTCACAGCAATTCCATCAGCAGCAGCAGCAGCAGCAGCATTCTTTTCAGCAAGGATCCCTCAAGTGAGTCCAGACTATTTCTTCTTTCCTCACATCCACAGAGAAAAGGATAAGAAACAGCACTTCCCAATGGCAGATATTTCACAACCCCAGACTGAGGACATTAGACAGTCAGTCACAAACTGCTAACCTCACGGGCCACGGTAGCCAAGAGAAGCAGCTGTGGCCACGCCATCCCACAGCCCTGCCTGGCACAGGAATCAGGGCCCAAGAAGCACACGTTTCAGATAGGCGAGGGTAGTGGCGTTGGCCAGCATCTCGATGTGCTCGCTGCCCGGGAGCGCCTGCAGTGACACTTGGTGCTCCTGGCGGCTGCGCCAGGCCTGGCACTGCAGGGCGCTCTGCAAGTTCACAGTGCCGTCGCCATCACCAAAGCAGATTTTGGGATCACGGTCTGGGAAGCTCTCATAGTAGAAGGAGTCTGGCGTGGGGACACCAGTGCCATAGAGGCAGTGCAGCGGCACGCCAGGGGGCACTGTGGCTTCGACCAGCCCCTCCGTGTCCTGCCGCATGAGCCATCCATCTTTGAAGCCAATGTCCTGGAAGAACTGGCGGTAGTCCCGCAATGTGTAGTTGGCTGTGGGTGTACGCACGAAGATCTTCTCAGGGGACCAGGTATAGTTGTAGGGCAGCAGCCAGCTGGTGGAGACGGCAGACCGCTGCTGCTCCCGAATCTTCAGGGGCCCGATGACTGGGATCCGATTGTTGTCTCCTGCAGGGAGATGGCTTTCTCAGTCTGTGCTCAGGACAAGCTGGCAGGGCAGCACGGTCCCCCCCAGGCCCCCCGCTGGGCCCCAGTCAGGGGCCCAGTCAGCACTCCAGCACCTCTACACTGTCGTCCTCATTATAACTCCCCCACAGTTCCCTTTATTTTTGCTCTATCTGGGAAGCACACCGCCATGACTTGTTTCTTTCCTTCTGCATTTCCTCACCAGAGGTTTAGGCAGCACAAACCCACAAGGTGATTCATTGTGTAAACAGTACCCTCCTCTGAGCATTTGTTACCAGGCTTGTGGGCACTGACCTTGTGGAAGGTGAATCAGCAGGCTGTCAGCCCTGGGACACATTCATCTTTCTCTCTTCTTACACTGAGTTACAAAAACATTTTTCTTTTCCTAGGCTCAGACCTGCAGCCAGCCAGCCCTGGTCGTACCCCACTCTCCTACGTGTCACTGACCTGGGCAGCCAGGCCTTCGGGAGACACAGCAGGAGGCAAGGCTGCAGGCAGAGCGAGGGTCCTTCTCACACAGGAATGCCAACAACACAGAGCCAGGGAGGCCTCTGAGGAGTGAGCCAGAACTTAGAAACAGGGGCCCTCTGACCTATTCAGGACCCTGGCCATCCATCAACCCACCTTCTGACTGACCAACAGACTTTCAGCTCTGCCTTGTGAGATCTGGCTGTAGGACCCCTGAGGAAAGGAAAGCCCCTAGCTAGGGGTCCATGACTACCACCCCACCCCCTACCCTACCCCTGATCCAGACTGCCGGGACCTGACAGAACAGTTTCCCAGAATCTGAGGCAGAGATCTAAGGAGACTCACGGGGAAGCTCTGAAAGGCTGAGACCTGAACCTCACCACGGTTCCCTGTCTCAAATTCACGCAGGCCCACATCTGTCCTTTTAGGTCCAGGTTGGACAGAGTAGATGGCTGTCATGAGTCCTTGTTATATCCGGACTCGTTGTCCAGCCAATCCAAGGTCACTACCGGGAGAGGCACTGTGTCTGACCTGATTGCAACCATCAGTTGTCCAGCAAGTAGGTCAGGCAGTGTTGATGACATGAGGAAGAAAGTTCCTCAGACGCTTGGCATAGTGGCTCGTGGCTCCTAAAATGAGGGGCCACGGGTTCAATCCCAGTCCTAGCAGAGGGAGGAAAGCCCCATGGCTATAGCTGGCAGGCTCTGATAGCCCTGAAAAGGCAGGTGGATTGGGGAGAAACAGGGAAGGAGGTGACTTTGCCAACTGCCAGGCAAGCAGGCCCAAAGAAATCTGCACCTGCTTCCTCCCTGTGTTACCCACAAAGGCTCTCCGCTGCCACAGATGGACGTATGACTCATAAACAGGAAACTGGAGTCCAACCTTCCTTCCCTGGGGCAAAGGTGGGCACGAAGAAGGAAAGATGAGGGTAAGAGAAAGGGAGAAGGCTCCCTCAAAGAACTTTGGGTCAAACCAAGTTAGGCCAGCCAGGCCAGAGCATAGTGTACGTGTGTACACATGTGCACAAGCAAATACCTGAGTGACCAACAGTTGTGCCATTCCGTGTACATGCCGCAAAAAAAACTCACACAGATAACAAGGGCCATCCACTAGAGAGATGAAATTAATTAATGATAGATCCTCTTTTGGAAAAGGAGATGTTTAAAAAAGCATCCCACTCTGGAGAAGAGACATGAGGGTGGCCCAGGAGGACACTGTAGAAGGAAAGAGAGGGCACCATCCCTGACATCAGCCCCCCAAACTGGGTCAGGCAGGGTCTTACCTGAGGCCAGGACACGCAAAGTCTTGGCCACGCCCCCCCAGGGCGCACCCAGTGCCACAAAGGCACGGATATACTTGTTCTTCCAGGCCTGTGGCTGCCGCTGCAGAAAGTAGAGTGTGTACATGTTGCCCATGCTGTGGGCAACCAGCACCACAGGGCCCCCATACAGCTGATGCATCTCCTCGATCATCTCCCGGAGAGCCAGGAAGTAGGGCCCGTTTTCATCTGTAGGCCAGAGCCAGGCGGTGGTCAGGAAGGAAGGGTCCTGGGGCCTGAACCACTGAATGTTTTTCAGGCCAGATCCAGGACTAGGCGGGTGGGGAAAATGCTAAAATCCAACTGGGAGTGGTCTGGTTTTCCCTCCTTTTCCAGGAAAGGAGGAAATGTAGGCGGTCCTTTCCCCCTCCTCAGCCTCATTATCTCTCCCCAGGGCTCAGAGGCCCAGAAATCCTAGGGTGAGGGGTGGAGAAGGACAGGACAGATTGACCAGTGGTGGTAGCTGTGACTGCTAGGCTAGACACCAGAGGCCCTGGGGGACAGGGGAGAGCCCAGGGCCCCTGGGGGCTGTGACCTCCTCGTCCCCACCTCCTAAGACCTCAGAGAGGAAGCAAGAGTGACCACTTACTTGGGGCTCGGCGCCAGTCGTAGGGGGCCCCCCGGACATCCTCACCCCGTGTGTAGCCCCAGCCCACAAGACTCTCTACCATGGTATGGAAATAGGAACCTGTAGACAGAAATGTATGAGAATTGTAGAAAGGACAGCCAGTGCCAGCCACCCACACCACACCCAACAAGGAGACTGTGACATCTACTGTAGGAAGATCCCTGAAGGAGTGCTATAAGGCTCTGCGCCTACACTGATTAGAGACAGTTTACAGGCTCATTTCAAACTAATAGCATTCCTCCCACTCTAGGAATACAGAACTTCCAGCCCCATTCCCTGGAGGACATGAGGAAGGGCTACATACCCACACTGCTTCTGCTGGGGTCCAGGAACTCCAGTGAGAAAGTCTTCCCAAAGCCAGGAACACGCACATCTACACCATCTGGAAACTGGGTGGCCCGGGATGTTCTGTTGTAAACCAGCCTGTCGGGGGTGGGGGTGGGGACATTGAGCTGGTGATCCAGAGATGACACTGAACATGGTGTGTCCTAATACTTCCCTGTATCCTAAGCCACACTCCCTTACTATTCTCATGTCTGATAAGAAGTATATAAAAAGTAACAAACTTTATAAAGCACAAATCAGAGTAACCAAGTCCAACAGAGGACCCCGAACAAGACTCATTCCAAAGATTAAACCCAGGGCCCCTGTCAAGGCAATATTTTCTTCTCCTCAATGTCATCAACCTCAGAATGCAGGTCTTGGATTTGGTTGGAAAAGGGAAGTACCAGGCCTGGCTCTGCCATCAACATCATGCTTGACCCAAAAGGCAGGTAGCCTAATCTTACAGGCTCCCATTCCCCATCTCCATGGATTTAGCTCCTACCACCCACCACAATACATCACAGGGCAAAGGAGATGGTAAGTGCAGCATACAGACCCAAACAGAGAAACCACCACCTTAGGGCCTGAACACCTGTGGCTGTTGTGTGGGTGGGTGGGCAAGGTCTGGAAAAATGATGGGACAGGGTGGTGGGAGACAGAAGGAAAGCTTTGTACTAGGCCAGGAACTTGGTTCTGGCCTCCCTGATACCAAGGAGGCAAATGTGCCCAAGAAAACACAGGTGGCTAGACCTGAAGTCCTTGGTGGTCCTGAGTCCTAATCCCCATAAGATCAGCCACAGAAAGCTGACCAAGATACCCAATATAGACCTAAATAATAGGTCCGGGGGGCCCACTTTCTCTAAGGTGATCTGTAGATTATCCCTACAGAAAAGTGTTGAAAACTTTCTACAAGGACAAAGCAGCTCTGTGCCAGATGAAAGTCTAAACAAGTCAGATGTCCCATGAAGGTAGACAAGCCACTCTCAGTATCAGCCTGCACCTCCGATTGGCAGTACCTGAGACCACGTCTCTGGTGTAAAAATAGAATTGCAGATCAACAGCCCAGAAATAACCCTGATCACATACAAAAGAGGAAAGAGTCAACAAAGCAGGCATCAGAAACAACAGGAAAAGGCAAGGCACCTGAAGAACTAACTAATATATCTCCAGAAAAAAAATTTTAATTTGTGAGACTCCATTCAGCTCAAACATTTACTGAGCACCAATTTGTTCCTGGTTCTACCGCTATAAAGATAAACGAAATATACCTTCTTTCTCTGCCCCTCTGCTGCTTGCACTCTGTCTCTGTCTCTCTCTCTCAAAAATAAATAAACATTAAAAAAAAAAAAAAAAGATAAAAGAGATATGCAACCTCTGCCTTCAGTGAGCTGTCTTAGCTCGGGGTCACATAATTCTGGGTTCAAATCTTGATTCTGCCACTCATTAGCTGAGTGACCCTAGGCAACTTTGTAACCTTTTTGAGCTTCCAAGTTTCCTTATCTGTAAACAAGGTTGAAAACAGTACCTGTTTCATAGGGTTGCTGTAAGACTAAATGAAAGAAAGTATGTAGCACAGGCTGTGCCTATATTCAATAAGTGATAATTTTCAATACAGTATTATTTTATTATCAGGGAAACATCCTTGGAAACAAAGTTTGGCAACTGATAAGGATTAAAGGGAAGAGACATGTGGCATGGAAGAAGGAAAGGTTAAGAGTTCTGGGGGAGTGGCAGGGGAAACTTTACAGAGGGACCAGGCTCAGGTTTTAAAGGGTGAATGGGGGGCAACTGGGTGGCTCAGTCGGTTAAGTGTCTGACTTCAGCTCAGGTCATGATCTCAAAGTTTGTGAGTTCGAGCGCCACATCGGGGTCTGTGCTGACAGTGCAGAACCTGCTTGGATCCTCTGTCTCTCTCTCTCTTTCTCTCTCTCTCTCTCTGTCCCTCCCCTGCTCACTCTCTCCTTCTCTCTCTTAAAAACAAATAAACATTAAAAAAAAAAATTAAAGAGTGAATGGAGGGAATTTATCAGGCAAAGGGTATAGAGCTAGATTCCAGGCTGAAAGTATAAAGACATG